ATATAAGCTTTATAAAACCTTCCCACTCTTGCAATGTTCTCAACTCTTAAACCAACGTCATTTTAACAACATTCGTATATGTAGCTACTAAATTTTCCTCAGCAGCTTGGCAGAACAGCAGCGGCTTGGTTCCGCTCCGACTTGGTTCCATTTCGGCGGACCTTCCCTGCCGGTTCTGGTCAGCTCTCTGGCTCAGGGTAGTGGCAGTGGGCTCCAGAGAGAATGCCGGACCTACGGCTGCACATCCCTGCTTGAAAGTCCTTGCGGGCCAGCTACCAGCTCGGGTTCGCCGATGGGTCTGGTTTTGCTACGGTTCTGGTCCAGTTTTGTGCGGCTCTCTAAATCCGCTGCACACTGAAGTCATTGTAAAGGACCAAACTTTTTCAGATAAGATCAAAACTTTCCCTCTAAATATTTCAGCAGAAGCCAACGGGGCTTGCAGGAAACTGTTGCCTTCAGGGAAATGTAGTCCTTATGAGTGGCAATACAATATAGGCTTATTGAGAGAAAACTACAAAATGGTGGTGCCTGTCTGAAGTATTTTATTGTTTCGTGAACTTTTTACTGTACAGTGTCCTGTACTGTCTCAATCACGTGAGTAATATTAAAGTTGACAATCTTGTCGTGTACTAATTTTTTTTCCTTCATGTTCGACCTCACTTTGAAAACCCTCGAAAGAATGCGTCCGCGAAAGTCGAACCGTGAAGTACTGAGGGACTACTGTAATTCCATACTTTTAAAATTTAAATTATTTAAATTCTAACTTGAATATTAAATAAGGTGCAATTTCAGCATGCATGTTTATGTGTCATTGGAAAACATCCTTAAGTGACACATATACAGTATATTAATTAGATCTTGTTTTAAGCATACGCACCGCAAATAAATCTTCAAACTGTCTGATTGTGCTAATGCAACAAGAGTTTAAACTTTTATCTCGTGTCCTCAGTACAAGCCTGTGGCATTCGCTGTCCGTTGCAACTTCTCCTACACACCAGCTGACGACGACAACGTCCCCGTACCGGGCCAAGCCGTCACCTTTGAGGCCAAAGACTTCCTGCATGTCAAAGAGGTCTGGAAGAAGACACTTCATGCAAACTTTACACAAAGACCACTAAAAAAAAAAAAATCAACCATGACACTCTTTTATTATCTATCTCATTTATAGGGTAAACTATGAGCCACATCAGCGAGTCAAGTTTTTTAATTAACTATATATTTTTAATTTTTTTTATTGGTCAGAAATTTAGCAACGACTGGTGGATTGGACGGCCTGTAAAGGAGGATGGTGTGGTGGGCTTCGTCCCCAGCCCAGTCAACCTGGAAACCATTCTCATCAGAAGAGAAGTCCAAGCAAGGAAAGCTGCCAAGGCCTTAGCCAAGTATGACGACAAAGCTGCACAACAAAAGTCAAAACTAGAATGATTTTGACTCAGTTTTTAATTTAAATAAGTATTTATTTTCATATTTAAAAACTGTTTTATTTGTTTTAAATGATGCAAAAAGGTCAAAAGTCTGGTCCCAGAAGATTATTTATTTTTGATGCACTTCTCTGCTCATCAATGACATTAATGGGATGAACTTGTATTTGCTTCCTGCGATTTATGCAGCAGTTTCATTTGAGAAGCATTGTTTCTCAAGATTTGTTTTTACTTTTATTTAAGTGTTGAAAATTGAGCAAATCACTGCAAGCAAATTATTATTATTATTATTATTAATTTTCATTTAAGCAAAGCAGCATCTCAAGTGGCACAAGATATGAACTCCAAGAAATACACTCCTCCATCACAAGGTCAGTTTCAGTGTGCAGCTAAGGGAAACGTGCACGTGTTATGACAGCTGAGCTAACATTAAGTTTCTGTGCTTGTATGTGAACAGCCAATCAGCAGGTGAAAAAGAAACCAGTAAGTAGTACAACTACATATGATTCTTACTATTTTCCGCTTATTGGTTTGGACTTTGACAGTATTTTTGCACACTAACATCATCTTACTCCATGGTTTTATACAAGAAACATCTGCAAGGCGTATCAGTTTAAGCCAGATATCAAAACACGTCAAAAGTGTGATTTTATTTGCTCTGAAATTGTCAGTTACAGAATTTAATGATTATCTGCTTCCATGAAAGGCAGGCAGCTCTGTATTTGGCTGTGGGTGCGTGCATGTGTTCCCATCTGTGAGTTAGCAAAATGTCTAATGAGCCAATTAACAGATTTAATGAAATTCAGAAAGTAATCAGTTGATTGCAGCTGAGTCATAATTGAGTCAAGAAATTCGCCACAGCTAATCAGTTTTAGCAAACACCCAAAAGGCCGTAGCTTCCTCAGTTTGACAGATATTGAGATAAAATTTGATCTGGTAGTAGCTGAGAGTTGTCTCCAACACATACTTTGAGTGTATACCATGCAAGATAGTGGGAACATGAATTACTTCAAGGAATGTTAGTTACTTTATGCAAAGTTTCAACGGCTATCTGTGAGGATTACTTTATTTTTTCCAAACATTTGCAACTAAATATTCAATCAGATTTTAATTTTCACCCGTAGGTAGAATTAATGCAAGAAAGCATTTTTTTTTTTTTTTAAAGTGGCTGAACAGATTAAAACATTTGACAAATTCAGACTATCCAGCAAGTTTAGTGTTGAAACAAGAACCAGGACGGTGGTGTGAACAGAGCCAATCAAATAACAGCAGATTAGACTGTGACATGTATTCAGTGAGACACTGTTCATCGTCCTGCAGCAAACATCTCCTCTGACTAATATAAGATACCCCAAGCTCATAAAATATTCATTACCACCGTTGTTACGTACAGGAGCTTTGTTTAGAATACTAATAGAAAAAGAAATGCAAACTCAAAATTGCAAAGGAATGCAATTTAGCTTTTTCTTTGACAGTAATTCACAAACCAATACATGTTCAACAAAGAAAATTAAGTGATCAATCAAGTTGCCCTACAATTAAATTTTTTTTTTCATACATCTTCTTTTTGTGCCTACAGGGGGAGCAGGTCAGCATGTACGATGTGGTGCCTACAATGCGTCCTGTGGTTCTCATGGGGCCGTCGCTGAAGGGCTTAGAGGTGATTTAAAGTTCACATTTTATAAAACCTACGAAAAAATACTGCTGATGAAAATTTTTGGTGATTAAATACAGATTTTTAAAGCGATATTTTGTTTTGTTGTCTAATTCCAGGTCACAGATATGATGCAAAAAGCACTCTTTGACTATTTAAAGCACCGGTTTGAAGGAAGGTGAGTTTTTATGCATTTCCTCAGTTTTACACCTTTTTTTCTTACTTACAGTGAAGCGTAATGAAAGTTAGAGTTCTATACAAAGTTAGTTTGTGTTTCTTCCAGAGTTACCATCACACGAGTCACCGCTGACATCTCTTTGGCTAAACGCTCCATCCTCAGCAATCCAGGCAAGAAGGCCTTAATGGACCGATCCAACACCCGATCTAATTTAGGTATGTAATTATCACCCTGCTGTGGTGCAGGATCTTTGAGAAGTTGTTTTTTAATAGGAGTGTATGCATAAAGACAACTCAAACACTATCAAGCAGGGAAATACAACTAAATTCATCTCTAAATCAATAACTTTATATAATTTCCTTTTGGGGTGGTATGGTGGCGCAATCGGAAGAGCGGCCGCCTCTCAGCGAGAAGGTTGTCGGATCAAATCCCGGCTGGGCGGGGGTTCTGGGTGGAGTTTGCATGTTTTCTGTGCATGTGTGGGTAATCTGGTTTCCTCCCACATACTTAAAACATGCATGTTCAACTGGTTATTCTAAATTGTCCCTAGGCGTGAGTGAGAGAGTGAATGGTTGTTCGTCTTTGTGTGTCTTTATTGTATGAGAAGGCTAAACTGCTTTGTTTTTAAGTTTCATAATAATTACCATAGTGTTCCTGAGAATAAATACTGGGCTACAAAACAGAACTACAATGTTGTGCTTATGTAATTGTTAAGAAAAAAAAAGGCTATCATTATGATGCAAAAATGGTCATTATCTAGTCAAAACCCAACGTTTGTGGCGGAGTTTTTAAAATCTTTGTTCACTGATCTGCAACAAAAGTCTCTTCAGAGAAAAGAAGTTCAAATCAAGCATAACGAAACATTTTAATATCAATACAGTTCAGATATCTTTGATCCAATTAAAGATCTTGTTGGGAAAACCGATACCGCTGATAATAAATAAAGCACTGTGTGAAAAGTGAGATTATTATCAAGATGACATAATTTGCAACAGATGTCATGTCACTTCAGTTTATGAAATAGTTATGACAATACTTAGCCAAAATTTTACACAAATCAGGAACTTACAGGGAAAATAAGGTTATCATTATTTTCAAGAAGCTTCATCTTTGTGAAACCAGTTAAGTATTGACCTGAAAACCTTTTTTTTTTAGCATTATGTATATTTAGATGTTTTATTTGAAACCAAAGTGATAAATCAAACAGACTAACCAACATCTTGGAAACAAGATTACAAATACACCACTGGAGCAGTTTTAAAAAATCTGTTCAACCCAAGTTACAGTAGGTACTACTGTACTTTAGATAGTTTATTTTAATGTTATGTTAACTTAAATCTTATAATTTCTGGCTGTACAGTCACTTCATGTTGGCAGCCCAGGTGTGTCTTTTTTTGTGTAACTTGTTCAGTTAAGTGTAAATTGTGTCCTGGTGACGTACTTTAGGATAGACAAAGTCCTTCCCTCACCACATATGTTCCTCCCCTCGCACTTCATTAGAAGAGGAACAACGAGGGGACAACATTTACTTAGGTTTCTTTACTCTTGTTTCTCACATTGCTCTCTGATTCCAGATACCGCTGGTATGTATGCCTGAAAGCACTGGTAGTCCTTGTGTCTTTGAGAGCTCCACCTTTTATGTCCCTTTTATTGCCTCTTATCAGTACAAGAAGCCAGTGCTCCTTCACCTTTATGTGCTGTGAACATTATATAGACAGAAAATGAAATTCATCATCTACAGTTTCAGAGTTAGAAGCTGATCTTTGACGAAAAGTCTTTAGATTGTGAGTTAAACCAGGGTCATAACGTCCTGCTTTCCTGCTCTCCCTCTAGTGGTGAATGTTTAAGTTACTCCTCCCATGAGTCAATGTGTTAGTTATAACTACAAGAAAACCAAAATACATCACCTAATTAGATCATGTCTTTCAATAGGTGCTGTCTGAAGGTTTTAAATGTGATGAATTAATTGTCTGAGACTTATTTTTTATTGTGCAGCGTCTGATATTCTGCTGACTCAAACGTTCAATAATTATGTGAAATGATCACTTCCTGCTCTTGCAATATTATGTAAAGTCATTCAAAATAAGCATAGTAACAGTGACTATAAACAATTATTACAATTTTAGTTGGAATTGTTGTAAATGAAATGTAATGATAGTCTTATAATAAATTTAAAATGTTGCAGCTGAGATATAAACATATATATATGGGGTGCCGTTTGTAAAGTTGCAGTCAAAATTATCAATATTTTGGTGTATTTAGCTTTTAATAAGAAAAAAATAGTTTTTTTCCTAAGTCGTATTTTCACCATATTATTCATACATTTATAAATGTCATAATTCAAAACTAAATGTTTAATTTACAAGATAAATATTTAGTTTACAAACTAAATACTTAACTTGCAAGTTAAATATTTAGTTAGTGAAGTAAATATTTGAGTACAAAATAAATATTTAAATTTATACCTAAACATTTAGGTTGCAAACTAAATATTTATCTTGTAAATTAAATATTTAGTTGGGAACTATGACATTTATAAATGTATGAATAACATGGTGAAAATATGACTGAAAAAAATAACCCCTGTTTTTTTCTTATTAAAGGCTAAACAAGTCAAAATATTGATGTTAATTTTTGGATGCACAACTTTACAAATGGCACCCCATATTTATATGAAATGTGCAACATTAACTATTCTGTGTTAAAGATCTTGAAACCTTTGCTTTTTGCTTTTCCAGCTCAGATCCAGGGCGAGGTGGAGCGGATATTTGAGCTGGCCCGCAGCATGCAGCTGGTGGTTTTAGATGCAGACACAGTCAACCACCCTCTGCAGGTGTCCAAAACCTCCCTCGCACCAATCCTTGTGTACGTGAAGATTTCTTCACCGAAAGTAAGCGTCCGTGCGACCAAATGAAAACTGTTTTCCAAAACTTTCTTTTGTGTATTAGGGGAAAAATTTAAAAGAATCCTTTATTTTACTCAGATTATTTATCCCTATTTCCTACATCTGTTTTGCAGGTGTTGACAAGACTCATCAAGACCAGAGGAAAGTCTCAGACCAAACACCTTAATGTTCAGCTTGTAGCAGCCGACAAACTCGCTCAGTGTCCGCCGGTGAGTGCCATCTGGTGGAAAATGACCCAAACCCAACAAAGAAACAAGATTCTTATCATGTTGTGTTGTCATGTTAAATCCCAGTAATTAATAATCAAAATAAATCAACAATAAAATAAACAATAAATCCTTCATTGCAGAGCTCACAGATTTGCGTGCTCTTCACTCTATCAGTTTGTTGTCTGTTTGCTTAACCTTATATTTCATCTGAATTTCCTGTAGGAAATGTTTGATGTCATCTTAGATGAGAACCAGCTGTCAGACGCTTGTGAGCACATCGCCGATTACCTTGAATCCTACTGGAGAGCAACACACCCACCAGAGATGGAGCCTGCTAATGCACTGGTGGCACAGCTGGCGGAGAACACGCTGCCGGCCAGTCCCACATCAATACCGGTGCATAAAACACAAAATTACATAAAAGACAACATCTAAAGCCACCCTCTCATTTCATTTCATCTCATTCATTTGATGTGTTTTGATTTATGACTAGATTAGTTTCCATTGATTCATTTAACATTTTCATTTCATGTCTTCTCATCTTTCTACACCGCAAAGTTGAAGAAGAAATAAGATAGGCCAACCCCTGGTGAGTGAGAAACCCCCATAATGAGAAACCAGTTTAAAATAAAATAAAAATAATCTTACATACAAATAGAGCCAGAAATAAGAAGATAGGTATATATATATATATATATATATATATATATATATATATATATATATTTACTTTGTTTTTCCACACAAATCAAGAGAACAACAACATGTCAAACTGCCAAAAAATTAGACATCAATGTTCTTAGAAAATTTTAACCATGCATAATAAACATGATATATCAACATAGGCTTATGGTTTAATATGTATTACAAAATACCTAAAAGTGCTTATTTAAATATGTCAGATAAAGAAGAAAAAATGTCTTCTGTCACAAAATGTTTCTGAAAGATGAACGTGCTTGTTTTCCGTTTAAGTCCTCCACTCATGGAAAGCATTGTAGATTATAAAAGAAACAGTAAAGCAGGTTAAGCCTTAAACTTGTGAGGAACTAATTTTTTTTTTTTTTTTTGTCAAGCAGCAATTAAAAAAAACATCTGATCCCTCAAACTGAAGGCTGTGAAGAGAAAAGGGTGCAAACATATTTGCTTTTTATTTTTTTACCTCTCAAATTAATAAAATAAGCATAAATGTATTTAAAAAATACTGGTTGCTGCACCCACAGATATTATATAAACATTTTTATATGATATCTATGGATGCACCAACCATATATGAAGTTTATTTCTCCGTTAAAGGTGTACAGTTTAAAATAGACTAGAAGACCTTTTGTGTTTGAAGACACCAAGTGGCCACTTTAGGAATTTCAGTTTTTGGCTTTACCACATTAGTTTTATATTTTATCAAAATTTGTTGTATTGTTGCATGCAAAAAAAAATTTGCTCAAATCAATTGAAAAAAAAAGTACATTGTAAGTTGAATTGTAGGTTTTAAATACTCCCATATTCCACCAATTCCATCCATTACCTTTACATTTTTTAGGACATAAAATGCTTTCATATCACTCTTTTTGCTTTCTCAAATTGAATATGTGCAAACTACAAAGTGGAACTACTTATATGACATTGTGCTTTGGTGTTTTGCCCAAGGATGAGCAGAAGAGTAAGAAGTCCGCTGCCCCAAAGAGAAAAGGCTCTCGTGAGAACCACCAAGACTCTGAGACCCCATCAGTCCCAGATCAGGAGCAGAGAGCTGAGGAAGGCCAAAGAGAAGAGGAAAAGGAGCATCTTTTGATTGAACCAAAGAAACCCCAACACACCCACCACCATCATCACCACCACCATCATCACCGTCGGACGGAGCAACACAGCCACACCCAGCACAGCCAAATACCCAGAGGCGTGGATATAAAGTCAGGCAGGGATCAAACTCAAAGGCTTCCACGGAGTCACCCTCCTGAGGAGAGGGAGGAGGAGATGGAGGATGTGGTAGATAGGGCAGAGGAGGAGGAGACACACTACAACCAACAGTCCCATAACCATCATCATCACAGCAGCAACCACCACCATCACCACCACCATCATCACCAGCGCCTACGTGGAAACAACCAGCTGCACGACGGGGATGGCTATGACCAGGAGCACAATGAACGCAACCGACATCAACGGCATCACCAGCATATCCCAACACGGACGCACCACACGGATCACTATCCTGCTCACAATCATCACAGCTACCACCACTACTACAGCAGAGACAGGGACAGGGACAGAGATCGAGATCGAGACAGAGAAAGACACAGGGACAGAGACAGAGGTAGAGACAAAGATGTCTGACAGTGGCACAGAGATTCTTATCTAGACTAGACTGTTGTTTCTACAGCAGGATGGTGCACAGACTCATGCTGCTCAATTTAAAATGCACTGACGGAGTAAAGTCCTGTTTGGAGGCAACATTTCTCTTCATTGTTGGCCATATATATGGTATTTTTACTTTCTATATTTATACTTATTTACCTTTTCTTTTCAAAAACAATTTTAACCCGTTAGTGCAATTTTTACTGATGTTCACTTAGTGGTTTGTGTAAATCTGTTCATACTGGTTAAAGAAGAGGCACAACATAGAAAATATGTCAGATTGTGGATGGGATTTGGTGAGATTAGGTGAGTTATTTAGTGAGGCTTGAAGAACATAATGGGTTCCCCATTTATGCATCATGGCACAAAATAGATTCAGAATGTTTTGAAAAGCATAAACCTTCCATTGTGGTGGTTTATTCTCCTGCCATATGCTGCCACTGTGTGCATTGTGCTTCACCTAGTAATCTAATATGCTCCCGCCATGACCATAAGCCCACCTAATTCACTATGGATGTTTTATGGGGGCTCAAATAGATTATGACGCTATCATGAGCTATGACATGTAACTGAGAGCCTTTCGTGTATCAGAAGCTCACCAACTCCCTCTCACCAATTAGGGGCTGAGATGGGCTATAGGTAGGGCAGCCGACCTGGGACCAGAAAGTTGCGGTTCAACTTCCAGCCATTCCCACATGTGGTGTCTCTGAGCAAGACACCCAATCCCTAATTGCTTCCCGAGTGCTTAAATAGCTGTCCACTGCTCCGGGTGTATCCCAGGTGTGATGGGTTAAATGCAGAGAACCAAATTTGTCATTGCATGGGAACATACAATACAATGACAACATACTGTGTAGCACTTATACACCCTGCAAAGACCAAGCATGTTTTGGCTCATGGGGACTGCAGTAATGCCTACCTTGACCTCATGCCTGAGCTAAATCCTCAACACTCAGCATTGTGCCAGTGTGGCATAATTTATTTGGGCATAGCTTCATCAAGACACTGTTCAAGAATGTCTGGCCAGGACAGAGTTCTGGTCATGGTGAGTTTGTGGGTGCGTGTGGTAAGATTATCGTGGGAACGTGCAGCTGAAAAGAGCATGTCAGAACCTTAAAAAAAGCAAGATAAAAACTATTTTGAGCACATTAGCATCATGACTGATTTATTCAGTGAAGCGGGCCTAAGCAAACAGTATCAAACAATACATTTGATATGTTTCTTCAAACAATAAGGTAAAGAAGGTAATGTCTACAATTTTTCCGTTTTTTTTTCCCACTCATCTTGACGAGACAAACTCAATTATTATTTATTTATATATAATAAACTACAAGTACATAATATTTAAAACTGAGCTTAAACTTGAGCATTGACCTCCATTTATTTTGTGTCAATAAAAAAATGCACACAGTTTAAGAAATCTCACTGCCCAAGATTGCATCATGAATATGCTGTATGTAAAAGAACATTAAAACTCAACTTCAATGGGATTTTTTTTAACAATGGTATATTTGTTTTAGAATTATATCTTTCTCAAAATTAAACAAAATATTTGCTTTCTCCTAAAGTTCAACAAACAGCTGAAAATCCGATTTATTTATTCATTATTATTATTATTATTATTGCTATAGCAACACCTTATCTCTTACTGTGTTTCAACTAGTGCATCTTTGAAGCCAGTGGTTTATATTATTTTAAACATTGATACATAAAATTAGTTTTTTTTTTCCAATTCTAAACAAAAGTCATAATGTGCTTCCTACTTTCTGTAATAAGCTTATCTACTGTCTTGCATTTGATCTGTTTGGAAGCATGAATAGTCTTATGGTGACACTGAATTATATGCTGGATACACTATGCATCTTCTTGTAACAAAACATATTGCTTGAATACAATCTATGCATTTGTATATACTTCATATTTGCCTTGTTCTGTAAATGTAAAAAGAAACAGAGAGCCTGTTTCACTGTTCAGTACATCGTGTATGTATGATTAATTTAACATGTCTGGATTGACTGTTTCGTTTAAGGTTTGCTTAGATCATATTGTTTTGTACAACAGTCAAAAGTTTATTTTAAGAAAGATGCATTTTATTGTTGAAAACCATTAAAATACAAAACAATTTTAGGGACATATTATTTAAAAATGTTACCATTTGCCGCATAAATTACTCAGATTCAGAGACATTCAGATAATCTTTATTGTCATTTCCACAACATGTGGTACATGTGGTGGAACAAAATTATGTATGCAGAATCCCAGTTACATCAAACAATAAAATGTAAAAGAAGAACAGTAATAAGATCTAAGATAAGAAAAATAGCAGCTAAAAATACATTAAGCACTAATAGCATAAGAACAATAAAAACAAAACGCCAAACTGCAGAACGAACATGAGTATGTGTGAGCAGATGATCACGAATGAACACAGCAACATGAAACAGATCAACAGCAACATGATGCGATTTTTCACAGTGATTATCTTGATTAGAGATGCATGAGTCTAACAGCCTCAAGGTAGAAGCTGTTCCTCAGTTTAGTGGTTTTATACTTAGGGGCAGCTGTGGCTGAGTGGTTAGAGCAGTCGTCCTCCAATGCGAGAGTTGGGGGTTCGAATCCACCAGCAGTCACATGCCGAAGTGTCCCTGGGCAAGACACTGAACCCCTCATAGCCTCTGATGTG